CCCTCTACAGATGCCAGCTGCCAAACTTGAAGAGTTGGGGCCCAGCTAGCAGGGGTCAGGGATGTGTGTTCCTGAGCCTCTGGGAGGTAGAGGTAATAAACAAGCGTCACTCAGTCCACGGAGGCCTTACCAAGGATCCCTCCAGGAGGAATATGGAAGCTACACCCTTCTCCTTCTTGGGCACCAGCCGACGGTGCCAACAGCGGCGACGGAAGCGGCTCGTGGGCTGTGGGTCCAGGTTGAACTTGGACTCAAAGGTGCCGTACTCCCAGCCCTCCTTTCCCTCGCCAGAGAGGTCCTGCTGCAGGGAAGAACGCAGGGTGGTGCTCCTGTCCCTGCCTGGCAAGTGACCCCTGCCTGTGTCCCAGCCAGGGCTGTTGTTCCAGATGTCTCACCATCTGCAGGAAAGAGAGGGTCTCCATCTCCTGGCTCAGCTCCTGGCCCTGCTCCCTGGGGTTCCGGAAGCGGACGCGTACCCAGCGTCGCCGACGGTATGAATGATAAGTCTTTTCCACTGAGTTCCAGATCTGGGGCAGGCCGGAGGGTGGGATTCCTACTCCATATTCCCAGCCTGCAGGGGCGGCACCATGGCCTCTGGGTCCACGTGTACCTGCAGACTTGGGGGGGTGCTTGGACATGTCTGGGAGAAGGGCCCTAGAGGGACAGGTCCTGGGGGCCGAGGGGTCCTCATGTCCCGGAAGATATGCTCGAATTGTGTAATTTGGACTACCATGGGACCAAGTGCAGCGATTGCTTGCGTCTGGAGCCCAGGCCTCAAGACTTCCAATCCACCGCTCCCTCCCTGGAGCCACTTTGGTTGAACCGAAGCTCAAACAACCAAATCCATGTTCACCGGCAGTCATCCACCAGGCTTGCTCAGGGTCAGGCCTCAGGAAGGGCCTGCGCATCTTCACACTAGGGGCTGTGTCTGAGACCCTATTCCCTAAGCGGGTGGGAATCCCCAGGAATTTAGACAACATCCTGCCCGAGAGCTTGGCCACTGACAGGCTGCTAGAAGAACCAACCAGATTCGAATGCTTCAGGGTCCCAGGCCCTCAGACTTGACCAGAGACTGACCTTCACTGTCCACTGCGTGGTTGAGCTCCACAATCCAGTTGTTCTTAAAGTGCCATCCTTGGGGACACTTCACATTCTCCAGGGCTTCCACGGGCTGTCCGTTCTGTTATGGATGTTGAGGGTGAGGGAGGGTCATGCGAGGTAGACGAAGCTTGCCTTCGCTTGTTTTCACACATATGCTCCTGTCTTTGAACTTCCAGCCACCCTCAAGGCCAGAAAAATCTTACTACTTCTGCTGCCACCCTGGCTCACTTAGTTAGAGGTGAACGGCTCCCTCCTTGTTCACTGGGGACGCATTAGACTTGCATGGGTCTAGTCAGTGACCAGCAGCCTCTGGGCTAACTCCATTAAAATGAAACAAAATTTCAAAGGGCTGGTTCCTGTATCTTAGCACCATATTTACTAAAGAGCCACGGAGTGATAGAGAAGACAGGACAGTGTGTGTGTGTGTGTGTGTGTGTGTGTGTGTACACTCATGCATGTGGAAGTTGGGAGTCAGTCTCATTGCTCAGGAGCCCATTGGTCTTAGTTTTTGAGACAGCATCTCTTATTGAGATCTGGGGATTACCTGTTAAGTTAGGCCGTCTGACCAGTAAGCTCTAGGGGCGGGGCTACTGTAGTCGAATATTGTTGTAAGGTGTGTTACTTTTGTTTACGTTGCATTTGTTTAACTCTGTGAAGCTGTGTCACTGTGCCTGTCTAAAACGCCTAATAAAGAACTGAATAGCCAATAGCAAGGCAGGAGAGAGAAATAGGCGGGGCTGGCAGACAGAGAGATGGTATAGAGGGAGAAATCTGGGAAGAGGGAAGAGAAAAAAGGATCTAGGAGCCAGAGAAGGAGGCGGACTCCATGGGCCAGCCACCCAGCTACACACACAGCAAGCCACGGAGTAGGAGTGAGATACAGAAGTAAGAGAACGGGACGAGCCCAGAGACAAAAGGTAGATGGAATAAGTTAAGGAAAGCTGGCAAGAAACAAGCCAAGCTAAGGCCGGGTGTTCATAATTAAGACTGAGCCTCCGTGTGTGATTTATTTGGGAGCTGGGTGGCGGGCCCCCCAAAAGAGCCAAAAAACAAACAGACAAACAAACAAACAAACAAAAAACAGCTTACTTGTTTCTGCCTCTCTGCCCCTGGGACTGTAAGGACATAGCACCATGTGTGGCTTTTTATGTGAGAACTGGGGATAGGACTCAGGTTCAGATTCCAACTCCTAGGTTCAAATGATCCTTCTGCCCTGTCTCCCAAAGCAGCTGGACTACAGGCTACACAGTGTCTTAACTCTTTCTGACATCCAATTTAAGGTCTGCAGTTTGCTATCCTCGGGTATAACCCCTTCATGGGTGCTAGAAGAACCTCAGGGCTGAAATACTTATCTGGGTTCCCACAGCATGTATGGAGCAGAGTTCAGACATAGCACTTACTGGCGACACCCCAACTTCTGAGTCCTCCCCCCCATCTGGTTCTTGCCTCTCCCCCATCCCCCCGTACCCTGCGGCAGGATGGAGACACTTACCACATCTGTGTTGGGGATAGCTGCAGGCACCCATGCGCCTGTGGCTTTGCGGCTCTGGTTCTCATACACCTCTTCCAGCACCTGGCTCTTGTTGATGTCTGTGTCCAGGAGGAGTCTGGGCAGCGGTGAGACCCCAAGTTCTCAGAGCTGTCTGAACTCCCACGGGTCATCCTCTGCCGGCCGAGCACCCCCATGTGACACCCCACCTCCCTTCAGCGAGGCAGAGCCTGGCATGCAGACAGCTGTTGGCCAGGGCTGTTGGTCTTGTGTATTCCCAATCATCGGAACCAGCTCCCTGGCTTTGGAACCCACATCTTTAAGTTCCCATTAACGTTCCCAGGTGAGAGGGAGCCACCCGGTAGGACATCCCAGGTGCCAGGCCAGGGCTCGCATCTTCCTTACCTCCTCTGAGGCTCCACAATCCAGTCGCCCTGCCAATGCCACCCCACAGGAGCCTTGAAATCTGACTTGGGGACGGCCTTGTGTCCCATGACATCTGAGAAGGTGGGGCAGTAGTACAGTCCTTGTTCTCCCCACTGGTCTTTGTACTTGGCCTGATTTTCATACTGGGGGAGGGGAGTCCCAGTCAGTGCCCAGACCTCTTCCACCAACCACCTGGTCCTGGGGGTACTGAGACTCCTGCTCCCCAACCTTTAGAAATGTAGTAACCAAGCAAGACAGGGCCACGTCCCAACTGTACCTAGGAGACAGAGGCTCGGCAGTCAACACTGCCTGGCGTTGCACAGCTGGCCGAAGAGTGGGGTGGTGCCCAAGGTAAAGCCTGTATCTTTGATGTGACCTGCCTACTCCCTAGTCACTGCAGACCTGAGAAATCCAGTCTTGCTACACATGTACCCTCTGTGCTACTTCCATGTCTTATTTCTCCTATCAGTCCCTCCATCTCTTCTCTGTCCCTGCCTCATGCAGGGTTGGTTAGACACAGCTGTCCCTTGACTAACCTCAGGGGATTGGTTCCAGAATGTCCCTGGGTACCACAATCCACTCTCGAGCCCCTAACATTGTAAAGTGGCCTAGCATCTGTGTACAACATATACTTTAAATCATCTCTAGATGACATAAAACCTAATACAATGTCAATGCCATGTCAGCATTCTGCTGGTGTATTGCTGAGGTCAGAG